TTAAGTAAGTTTAAGGCGCGTATATATATATAAGAAGACTTATAATTTATCTTTAAAGATATCTATATAGCTACTCTTACTTTTAGTACCTTTTATACTATTATAGCTATTACGGCCGCTTACGACCTAGATCTTATATAACTTAATACTATTAACGTATTCCTTAATAGTAAAATCGATAAGGAAATCTATATACGTTTCCTAGAAGGTTTTAAAGTACTAGATATAATACTTTATCTACTTAAGGCGCTCTACGGCCTTAAGTAAAGCTCTTTATTATAGTATAATACTCTTAGTAATATACTTAAGATACTAGATCTTTCTTAAGTACTAGAAGTTAATTATATTCTTAATAACGAGTTTCTTATTATCCTATTCTACGTAGACGATATTATTCTATACTATAAGCGTAAGTCTAAGAAGAGAGTTAATATAATTCTATAAAGCCTATAAGAGCGATTTACTCTATATATTATACTAGAAGTTAACTAGTTTCTCGGTATATAAATCGTACGAGACCGAAGGCTATATAAGCTATAGCTCGTATAGGATTTATATATCGATAAACTATTAGCTAAGTTTAATATTAATATATATAGTAGAAAGATACCGTTAATACCTCTTTTAACTAAAAGTCTCGTGCCGTATAATAGCTAGGCTACTCTATAAGAGATATATATATATTAATAGCGTATAGGGTCTATTAATTTCGCAGCTATAACGACAAGACCGGATATTATAAGGGCTTACTCTGTGCTCTTATAATACTTACGTAATCTATTACTAGAATATATAGCTGCCGCTAATAGAGTACTAGGCTACCTAAGTGTTATGGACAGCCCGTGAGAATAGGCTAAGCTAGGCAACAAGTATCAGTAGTAGTGTCTAATATAGGTATATTACATAAGACTCGAAGAGTTAAGGAGCTCAACCTAGTATACGAGGAGTATACGTATACTATATACTCTATATACATATATGTCTTAGTAGCCTTAATATATATACTTTCTTTAGTACTCGGCTACCTTACTATTCGTAATAATTACTCCCCTCTCTTAGCCTTACGTCCTCGTAAGATATATACTTAGTTATAATAGTACGTATCGTACTACGATCGTATACTACTATATTTATCTAGAGCTATCTTAGCGCTCCTCGTAGACGACTAATAATATTCTAGATAGACTTCCTAATCGGGATATCTACGAGTAC